TGGCAAAGATTTAGTCTTTTGGTGACATCTGGTTTCAACGGAGGCTGAAAATGAGGGACGGCTGTCCACGCAGAAAAGAGACTAGGCTTTGTGAATAGCTGGCCATCTTTGCCATGTGGAACTTAGCACTAAATAGTGACTATAATATGAGCGTTTTTAAGGTAAAGTCTTTCTACAATTAACAATATCAGAATAACAACTTTATAATCCATAATATTATATATTCAACTCACAAAATAGTACGAGTTACTGTAAGTGAGAACATAGACCTAGATATCGTACTGCTTTTTGTTGGCGTGAGAAATGGGATGGTAAACACAGTGTCAGGGCAATCTGAACGGAGTGAGCACTGTTACCAAAAATAACGCTTTTGGTTGCCTCTTTTCTTAATCTAGTTTTCTCATATTCTGACTTAGTTTCATCAATGTTGCTATAATGGCCTGAGTTAGAACAACATCATTTCAGTTTTGTTAGATAAAAGTGAACATTTATGTAATGACACCAATCCACGAACATATTTCTATTTTTTAATTAACCGCTATTGCTGCTTTTGTTCAAAGGACTGTGACCAATTAAGTTGATTATGGAGAAGTGTCACGGGTCTTCAGTCAGAAGGCAGCTGAAATCTGGAGTGTTTATCATAATGTGCTGTTTCAACCTCAGGCTATTCAAGCCAACATGAAAAAAAAAATCAAGTAACAGAGAGGGGACTGATTGTATGCACTAGGCAATATTAGCTTCAATATTGACGAGGTGTCGGGGAGGATGGACACAGTCCCAGAGACTCGGATAATACTGCTTTATTGTTTGATTCTATATTGAAGGTGTTCTGAGACACACAGAGGGATTGTTCTGTCAATCTTCTGGCAATTTCCACTATTGTGATGATTAAAGGGTCTCACTCTAGCAGTAAAGGAGATACAACAGTGATCTAGTGTGTATCCGTGCAATCGAATAATCGTATAAAATACTGTCTACATCTTACTCAACATGAGTAACAAGATCTGCTGACCCTACCCCCACATGCACTGGACAGAATTTTACTCACTTTGAAGGTAAAGTGAGTTTTTATCCAATTGTAGCTCATGTTCTTTTCGAATATTATATATGGATAAATTGAAAGAACAGGGGCCCTATCCCTTAGTGCAGTGGCCAAGGGAAGCAGATCCCACACAGCCAACTCTGGTCTGAGTCCTGATTTTGACAGCTCGGCAAATACACAGGGCACATTTCTGTGTGCGTCAAATCCTGATGGGATGGAGAAATGGAGGAGAGATTGCAGCATGGCCATATCCCAACAAAAGGGGTGTTTCCTCCTCCTACCCCCCACCCAGTGAGTGCACATGTCCTCTAGCAGTTTAAAAAACGTAAATGGGGACCAGCAGTTGACGTAACGGCTATATTGCTGGACTCCCATGTAGGTGACTGCGGTTCAAGTCCTGGACTCAGTGGCTTAAACTCACACTGGGTGCATGTGTGTGTGTGCCCAAGATCCCGAGAGGAGAATGGAGGAGGAGGGACTGTGGTGTGGCCATCCCACTCTGGGGCATTGGGGGGTGATTTCTCACTTTGTTTCTCTGTCTCTCTCTGTCTTTCTGGTGAACGCATGCCCCTTAGAGCAAAAAATCTCTTCAAAAAAATTTTAAAAAGTAAATGGAAGGAAGAGGGGAAAAGCAGAGGAACGAATTCTGAATCTAAATTCTGTGAAGAAAAATCTTATGCTTTCTTTACATCCTTGAAATGTCATCTTTGAGTCAAACTGGACTACTTTAAAATCTAGCTTTGTCAGTAATGTGCTATTTCTTTTCTCATTTGTCAGTCAGTTAAATAGTAAATATTTAATAGTAAATATTTTCTCTGAACCAGAAAACATTAACCCAGCCAAAGCCCATGGTTCCAAGAAGTTTACATTCTATTGAAGAAAATGGTCAATAAATACACAAAGTCCTGACAGCACTAAGTGTCTTAAAGAAACTAAGATAGCACATAGTAGGACTTCATGAGGAGGTTGGGTCTAAGTGGATACCCACAATTTAAGGCTCTGTCTCTGACACAACACACTACCCAACCCACAAGAAGCTGATTTTTACATTAGGCTTTTCTGCTGGAAAAGAAAGACTGATTTCAAACTTAACACAGTTAAATACAGTAACTAACCATCTCAGGAACCTGTAGAAAATAAGACTGTGCATACATAATCACCTAAATAGTTAGGATATGATAATTCAAGGTATTCAAAGTAGTCAGGAGGATCCCTTTTGGGTCTTAGAAACGGACTTTGGTGTAACCCCTCCCTGCCCTCTCAGCTGTGCTGCAAGCTCACTCTGGGCTTCCTACCCCGGTTTCTCTCTGCATCTTCCACCTGCTGGCCCCTCCATTGCTTCTATGTCGCATTCTTTATTACTCTCTGGGGTGTCCTTGTTCTCTCTGCATACATTTCCATCCTTGGCCTCTTCCCTCTCCTCTACCTAATGCTAACTTTCATGGAAAGTTCAGCTCTCAGAGAAGATCCACAGGGGGCAACATTAGCTTTTTTTTTTTTTTCCCCCTTTTCTTTCACAAAACATGAAAACCTACCTCTGCTCACCTTTGACTCTCATCTTCCTGGCCCTCAAGTAGGGTTGCATTTAAAAATAAAATACAAAAAAATGGCGCTGGTGGTGGTGGTGGGGTGAGTAAAGGGATACAGAGGAAGATTTGAGAGCTCTTTGATCCCACTGGTCTGATCACAGGGCTCAAAGATGAAGTCTACACAACCTGCCAGGTGCAAGACTGATGAGATTCCACTTGGTGTATCAGGGATAGATATTCTAAGTGAGGGTGATAATGAACATATTTTACCTTTCCCACTTCGACAAATCTTGAAATCCACCCAGAAATCATAAATCATGCTGCTAATTAGAACATCGTAACACACTGCCTCCCAGGGCAGGATGCCTTGGGCAGCCTCAAGGATGCAATTTGTAAGGCAAATTTTGCAAAGCCAAATACACTGACTTAAGTAGTAGTTACTATAACACCCTTGTTACAAAGAAAATGAAGATCTGTGGAGAAAAATATGTTTTTCACCTACCGAAGCTCAGTATCTAGAATTCTGAATTAAAATTGTGTGAAGAGAAATCTTACGCTTTCTTTATATCCTTGAAATGTCATCTTTGAGTCAAACTGGACTACTTTTAAATCAGGATTTGTCAGTAATTTGTTATTAAGTTTGGGCAGAAAAATTAATCCTTCCACATATTAGTTTCCTTGTTCTTGTACACTGGAGATATAAAACTTATCTTCCATCTTAAAACTTTGTTGTGGGGGTTATGAAGGCAGACAGTGGAAAACACATGTAAAATGCTTGCCCCAATAAGTGGTAAAAATACTTATTCTCACCATTCTCTGTTAGATAACATTTTAATAAATTAAAAATATGGGCCAGCCGATGGCATAGTAATTAAGGTGACGTGATCCCATATGGGCAACCAAGTGGTTCAAGTCCCAGACCTGGCAGCTTAAAAACATGCCAGGTACCTGTACAGGGTGCCCAAAATTCTGAAAGGAGGGAGAAATGGATAAGAAGCAACCGTGGTTACCATCTCCCATGGGGAGGGGTTCTCTTTTTCTCTCTAATGAGTGCATAGCAACCGTGGTTACCATCTCCCATGGGGAGGAGGTCTTTTTTTCTCTCTAATGAGTGCATGTGCCTTTTGACACACACACACACACACAAAATGTTGCTAATAGCTTTCTGTCAAAATTTAAGTAAACACACAACTATGACTCTTGAGGGGTCCTCAAATTTCATGGAGACTGTGTTTGCTGGAAAAACTATGCATGGATTTCAAAGTAATTGCACCAAAATAAATTCATACTTTAATTCAATGATTCCATCATTTTTGGGGGCATCCCCTTGTGTTCTAAGTACAGGGAATGGCATTTACCAAGCTCATCAGCTCTCTTTCAATGTGTGACTGAATAGATTGAATAAATATTCTTAACAGTTCGGGAATCTGTATTAGTGGAGGAGCTGAGCGGCTTTCATTGATGAGTCCCGGCTCTTTTCCTAAGCAGAGTGAGTTTTTAGCACAGCTGCCTAGCTGATTCTGCAGAAAGCAAATCCCACCCAACAACCTAAGGCTGTTTTACAGCTAGCTTGACCGCAGTCAGGAGCCTCTACCAGCCCGATCTGGCTGAAACCGGGAGAGATGGACGTGTGGCAACAAACCCCATACTCTCATGAATTCTTGCTTGTTCCACCTCAGGAGGAGCTTCGACCCCATTACCTAACATGGACTGTAAGGTGAAGGTGGAGAAGTGTGACCAGTTACCACGCAGCCCAGCTTCACAGGCTTGGCCCAGCTATATCCACTTTTCCTAAACATATAAAAACCTTCCAGTCTCCGGACACACTGCTCTGTGGGCTAACCCTGCTTTTCCTACCTGCTGCCTTTGAATTTAAGGCTTTCTGCAAATCTTGACTTATGGGCCGGACTCCATGGCTGGGATTGGCCTTGGGCGGGGAGCGTGGCCCACCAGCCATCTGAGAAGCTCCGGTCAGGCCTCCATGGCTCCACCTCCGTACAGCTTCTCACCTGCCAGCCATATGACCTCTCACCATGCCCGAGGGCTCCGTCCTCCCTGTGTAACAAGCCGGTTCCCCACCTGGCTCATGGGGCTGAGAGAGCTTGATTCTGGGTGTAGACAATGGAGAGGGGATTAGCGGGTAGCCATCCCCTGGGGGTGATTTCTCACTTGCTCTCTCAGTGTCTCTGTCTCTCTCCCTCTCTCTTTGGATAGCACACGCCCTAAGGCATAAAAACTATTAAAAAAACCAAAAAACAAAAAAAGGCTGATCCTAGGAGCTCCATGCAAACACAACCTCAATTGGCTGTAGCAGGTTGAGTTCTTTCGGAGCGCCCTGGCGTAGGGCAGCTTCCGGTGGGAGCCGAAGCAGAAGCGGAAGGGGCGGAGCCTGGGTGTGCCGCGCCCGCGTGGGGAGAAGCCGCGGGCTTCTGGGAGCTGCGAGGGCTGGACTCACAGTCCTCCACCGCCCGGCCTGTGAGTGAACCGAGAGCAAGGCCTGTGCAGGGTGTTTCCCAATTGTCTTCCCCAGCCCCAACACCTCCCGCGGGGCTTGGGCTCCCGGGGCTCGGCGGGAAGCGCCTGGGGGTTGAGAAACAAACAGTCCGCTAGCTCGTGTGTCGCAGAGGCCGGCCGAGCGGAGGGTCACGGGGAAGGGACAGACGCCGCAGGCGGGACAGCAGGGCCACGGGAGGCCAGTGGCCGACTTTTTCCCAGCGCCGCTTTGATCCTGTTTTTGTAAAATAGTTATTTAATTAAATTTTTTAGAGGTTTGTGCCTTAGGTACGTGTGCTTGCTGGAGTGTGAGGGAAAGTGAGAAATTGCCCCCTCACGGAGGATGGCCACCTGCCATCTCTTCTCCAGTCTCCCGTTGGGATTTGGGCACACAGTGCGATTTCCAAGCCATTGCTGGGACTCGAACTCCCGGGCCCTTTGGGAGTCCAGTGACGTAATTGCTACGCCATCTGCTGGCCCCAGCCCGGTTTTATTTAGTTTTAGATCCTTTGTTTAGTCACATTTCGTTCCTCAAGGTCTCTTACCTCTTACTACTTTTTATCTTTGTGTTTTCTATTGTATTTCTAGTTTGGTAAATGCTACCAAGTGTGCAGTTCTGTGGGCCTCCTGAACCCTTGTGTTCTGGTGTGCTTGTGAACACCGCACGCCTGCCGCCCGCGCTTCTCCCAGCTCGCCAGCTCCAACCTGTCCTTTTTCGGGCAGTGGTAGGAGTACCTAAGGGCTCTCAAAAGGTGCAGGGGCTTCCCCTCACCCTCTCAGGGAGCGTGCTCAAGGGGGGAAGACAGACAGACAGAGACAGAAATAAATTGAGAACCCCCCCCGCCCCCGTGTGCACACACACGCACACATACATACCCACCCCCAACCCCTAAACTGCCTGGTGGGACTGGAACTGCAGTGGCCCACGTGGGACTTGAGAGCCTTAACCACTGCCACTTGCTGGCACTGCACAAGGGTAGTTTCAAATCTCTGCTTGCAGTGCTCTGATTCTATCTTACTGGTCAGAACATGGCACACAAGCAACAGATGTGAGGTCTGGTGGAGATAGTCTCTGTCTCTTGGGAAGAGGGGCCTTAAGAAGAAAAAAAAAATAGTGTAAAATGTTAGAACACAGAGAAGGTGAATAATCTACCACAACAAGGAAACACTCTCTTGCCAGAAAAGGTTCAGGTAGTCTCATTTTTGTGCCTCAAGAATGAATCTCCTTGGGGCCAGCAGCTGGTGTGGTGGTTAAGGGCCAATGTGGTTCAAGTACTGGACCTGGTGGCTTGCTTTCTCACTTTCCCTTCTCTCTCTTGCTCTTGTTCTCATTCTGTCACTCTCTGGTCAAATAAAAATAAATAAAGTTAAAAAAAATAATTCTTTAAGAAAAAAAAAACAAAAAAAAATACTCCTTCCCCTTGGTGTAAGCGTTTAATGCTAATGCCAGGGGTAGCTCCAGAAGCAGTGTCTCCGGGACATGGGATGGAAAGTCTATTGACCATGTGCTTTGAGATCTTGGGTACATATATTCTTGTGCTTCAGTGTAGTGGAGTGACAATAAGACCAATGGCATAGTTTCTTTCAAGATAAGAACATTTTTAAAACAAAGTCAGCTATATAATAAATAATCAACAAGTAATTGTTTGTTTTAGACTGGGTCAGTGAAAATAATTTTACATACATATTTGGTAGTCAAGGAAACAAGGGAAGTCCAAGGGTTCAGCATTTCAAATTTTGGGTTCCAACTTATTAAAACTTCTAATTTGTTAAGATGTTTCCTACAAGAGGTACGAGTTCATTAGTTCATAGATACAGCAATGTTTTGAGAAAAATGTTATGGTAAATAAAGGCAAGTACAGTAATTTGGAACTCTAAATGCAGAACATGCATGTCCTAGAATGGTAAAGATTGGGTAAATCTTCCTTGAAGACCTCTGGTCTACGTAGAGTTGATCATTTATTTATTTCAAATAATTTTTCATTTAATTTTATTATAATTATTATTTTTAATTTGCTTTAGGGCATGTGCACTCACCAGAGAGAAACAGAGATAATGAGAAAGCAAACCACCAGGTCCAGGACTCATACTATAGTAGGCCATGTGGGAGTACATTACTTTAACCACCATGCCTGGCCCAGGTAGAGTTATTTATTAATGCTTGTGATTAAAAATTTTCAATAAAGCCTAGGTCTGATTTTAAATGACCCCAGCTGAGAGTTATATTGTGCCCAAGTCTTATTTCCTTTCTGTGTAGATTAAAAGACCGCGACTCGGGTCACTACAGTAGTAGACAGTATCAGAGTTGATGTCATCAGGTGTGTGGGAGCCTAACACTCCAGCTCTCACTTCCAGGACCATTTAGAAGTAAGACTGGCCTTTCTTACCTAAGTAAGCCCCCAGATATTTGGAACAGTTAATGAGAGGGGTAACTCAAATAGAGATCCTAAAATTAAATTTAGGAACATGGGAGATTCATGCGATTGATTTATTAGAGCTTAGTTCTTTGGTTTTTAATACTTTAAGATACTAGTAAAATTTCTCCTAGAATTCTGACAACACTCCAGTACTCTTAAATTTATTTTGCCTTATGAACAAAAACTTGGAAAATATTATTAATGGAATTTAGGGTTATTGGCAGAAAACAAAATGTATGTTTATGATAGAAAACAACTTGATAAGCTCCATTTAGCTCATTGTGGGTAATTCAGTAAGCAACGTCTGTGCCCCACTTCATTCAGTCTTCTCCCCATCCCTGGTGCCAGGCAGTTTACTCCCTTTTTTTTTCTTTTTGTTTTTATTAGTTTGCTTGTTCTAAAACTTAATGTAATCCTAAAACATAAAATCTATTTTGCTTGACTTCTTTCACTCCACAGAATAGCACAATATTTGAGATTCAATCATATTGTTTAGTGGTACTTTTTTTTTAGTTTATGCTATGGTGCGTGTGCACTTGCCACTGACAGGCAGATAGAGGGAAGGTGAGAAATCACACCCAAGGTGGATGGCCACACTGCAGTCCCTTCTCCAGCCTCCTCTCAGGATTTTTTGGGCATGCACACACACATGCCCTTCCTGGACTGGGACTCAAACCTCGGAGTCAGCCATGTGGAATCCAATGCCTTAACCTCCACCTTCTGGTCCCAAAGTTAGATTTTTTTTTTTAAATGGTTAACTAGTATAATACTTCATGTGTAAATTATACTTTATACATTCTTTAACAAGTTTTTGGACATATGGGTTATTTCCATTTTTGATCTATTATAAATAAAATTTCAGTGAACAATTACACATAAGCCTTTGGGTGGACATATGCTTTTTATTCTCTCGACTAATGCTCAGTAAAGAAATTGGTCTGTCATCGGGAACCAGCAGTTAGCGTAATGGCTATGTCGCTGGACTCTCACGTAGTTGACCGTGGTTCGCATCCTGGACCTGGTGGCTTAAAACTCATGCTGGGCGCGTGTGCGTGTGTGCCCAAGATCCTGAGAGGAGAATGGAGGAGAAGGGATTGCGGCGTGACCATCCCCCCTGGGGGTGATTTCTCGCTTTCTGTCTCTA